GTCGGCACGGCCACGCCGCCCAGCGCGATGCGCAGGCTCACGCCGCCCCCGTGAAAATGCCAGTGGCATTTTCCACAGAAATGGAAAAAACAAGGGCCTTTGCCACAGAAACAGAACAATCTTAAATTCTGTATTAAACCGCAAAGGACCTCAAGGAGCCAAAGCGATTTTCAGAAAGAACCAAGTGGGAGGCATCACGCTACCGGACATCAAACCATCCCACAAGGCCGTAATAATCCAAACTGCACGGTCCCGGCATAAAAGCAGACACGCAGATCGACGGAACAGAATACAGAACCCAGAAATAGACCCACGGCTACATGGTCGATTGATCTATGACAAATTTGTCAACAATGGGGAAAGGACAGTCTCTTCATAAATGCTGCTGGGGAAAACTGGACGGCTACATACAAAAGAACAGAACTGGACAACTTACCTTACACCAAACACAAAAACTAACTCAAAACGGATTAAAAAACTGAACCTAAGACCCGAAACCATAAAACCGAGAGGAAAACAGGTGGTAAGCTCCTTGCCGTCGGTCTTGGCGATGATTTTTTTGGATTTGACACCAAAAGCCAAAGCCATGAAAGCAAAAATAAAAAAATGTGAGACAACATCAAATGACCAGCTTCTGCACAGCAAAAGGAACCATCGACAAGATGAAAGGCATTCTATGGAGTGGGAGGAAGTATTTGCAAATCAGGTGTCCGATAAAGGATTAATATCCAACATATATAAAGAACTCATACAACTTGATAGCAAAAAAAAAAACAAACAAACAAAAAAAAAAACAATCCAATGATGATCAGGGTATCCGAGTAAACATTTTCCTACGAGGACCTACAGATGGCCAACAGGTACGTGAAGAGATGCTTCGTTAGCATCACTGGTCATCAGGGAGATGCACGTCAAAGCCACAGCGAGACGCCACCTCACCGGTTAGAATGGCTGCTACCAAAACGATGAGAAAAGACGAGGTGTGGAGGGAACGTGGACTGATGCGGCCACCGTGGGAAACGGTGTGCGGCCCCCTCGAAAACCTACAGACAGAGCTACCAGATGCCCCGGCCACCCCACGGCTGGGTGTTTTCCCAGAGAAATGAAAGCGCTAAGCAGCCCGTGTTCACTGCGGCGTTATTTACAGCAGCCGAGACGCGGGCCCAGCCTAGGTGGCCGTCGGCGGACAAATCTATACAGATAACGTGGTACATACACAACCACCAGCCGCAAAAAGAAGGAAATCCTGCCATTTTGGTAATGTGGATGGACCTCGAAGGCATTAACGCTAAGTGCAATGAGCCAGACAGAGAAAGACATGTACCGTATGCTCTCACTTATACGTGGGATCTAAAAACCAAAAAAACGAACAAAAAAATGAGCTTGTAGATACGGAAACAGATTGGTGGTCGCCAGAGGTGGGGGTGGGCGAAGGGGTCAAAAGGCACAAACGTCCCGTTACAAAAGGAGTAAGTCCTGGGCGGTCAGGTACCGCGGGGCGGCTGCGGTCAAGGATGCCGCGTGACGTAACTGTGAGTCGCTGAGAGAGATCCTGAATGTTCTCATCACGAGAAAAAAATTCCGTAAGTGTGTGAGGTGACGGACGCTCCCTAGACTCGTGGTGGTGACCATGTCACGGTTCACAAACGTCGAATCCTCATGTCAAACGCCTGAGACTAACGTGATGCTGTGTGTCAAATGCACATCCGTGAGACAATGACCCGCAGCCTTGCGCAGCGGCTGTCTGTCTGTCTGTCTGTCTGTCAGGTCAGTGGGTGAGAGCGGCCGAGGGCAGCCCCACTGCGCATTGACTGCTGGCTTCTGTCCCCAGGGGAGGCCGTTCTCAAAGCAAAATGAGTTTCTATCAGAGTGACTGCTGGGGGGGTGGTCCATCCTTCGGGGTAATCTGTGTGAACGTCTCCCGTGAGGGCTGAGCCCCCCAGAGCACGGGTGTGTGGGGCTGTGACTCCCAGGGGGCAGCCCGCCCCCCGAGGGACTCACCCAGCACGCGGACGACCTTGGAGTCCTGCAGCACGGAGCTCCCGCAGGCGGCCTGCACGGTCACACGCACGTCCCCTGCGCCCACGAACCGCGTGGTCACCCAGTGATCCAGGGACAGCAAGGGCTGCAGGAGCACAAGCGGAGTCGGGGCCGGGCCTCGGGTGGGGACAGTGGGAGAGCTGGCCCCGTGGTCAGTCAGCTGGCCAGGGCTGCAGCGAGAACGCCAGGGCAGGGGGCAGCAGGGGACCCCAGAGAAGCTGGGTCTAGGCTAACACGGCATGGACACCGGCCTTCCAGCGGCTGTCCCCAACCCTCCTCCGTGGATGGTCCAGAAGGCATACGTGGCCTCGGGCTGGGCCTCCACCCATGTCCCTGCCCCACTGAGGTGTGGCCCGCCACCCTGCTCAGCACCCAGCCTGTGGGGTGGGGCGCACTCATCGACCTGGTGGCTGCATTGCCTCAGACCATGCAGTTAGGGACAGAGGCTCTGGGCGCTCAGCTGCAGGTGTCTAAGCTGTGAGTCGAGACCACAGCCCAGGCCGGTGCCAGACCCACCCCTCCAGGGGACCACCATTAGGACCCCACAGCCCCTCCCCGCCTGGCCTCCGGGTCTGGGCCCTCAGCCACTGTTTGGGGGGCTTTCTGCTTGGGGGTACAGGGCTGAAGTTTGCTGAATGAGTGAAGGAGGCCCCTGCTTGGGTTTTGAGGGCCCCCCAGATTGGAATGGGCATGTGTCCACCACACCGGGACACAGCTGGTCCCTGGGCGTGTGCCTGCCCCACCTCCACAGAGTCACCCTCTCCACTCCAGGCGGCAGCGGGGCCGGCGCCAGCACACCTGCAGGCTGGGGCCGATCCACCAGTAGAAGACGGTGAGGTTGGGGTTCGGGGGCAGCAGCACGGCTGTGAGGTTCACCTCCTGGTTGACGCCGACGACGGGAACCACTTGGAGGTAGAGGGCCTGCAGGGGGGCTGCGGGGGCCGGGAAAGGTCGGAGGCTGGCATGGGCTCTGGGCTTTGCAGAGGCTGCTTGTTGGTCACTGTTCCCATCACCTTCATGATTAGTGCTGCCACCACCCACTCACTGCCCTCGTCACCTCCACCGCCATCACCACCTCCATTACCACCGCCGCCACCGCCAGCCCTCGTCCTGTGCAGACAGACCGCCATGGCGGGGACTTGAGCCCGGCTGCTGGCCTCCTGCCCCGGGGCCCTCGCCCTGAGCACTGGGGACCTGCAGCAGCCCTGAGGGAGCCCCATGCTGCCCTAGGGCCTGGTGTGCCACTGAGCGCAACGCTTGGCCTCCAAGGGGCAATGGACTTACAGTTGACCTGGACAAAGAGCACCGCCTCGTCGTGCCCGGCCATGTTCTCTGCCCTGACGGACACGCGGTAGATGCCAGGGCTCTCGTAGCGGTGCCGGATGGGCTCCCCGGTCAACGTGAGGTTCATGTACATGGCCTTGAAGCCGTCCCCGAGGTCCACCTGGTACTTGGTGGTCAAGACGTCGCCCTGCAGGAAACACCGTGAGGGCACTTCGGGCCGGACCTCGAAGCTCACTCACTCGTTCATTCCCTTGCTCCTCTCCTCAAAACAAGCGGGCCCGGGGGGCCCAGGGAACCGGAGCTGGTTCTGCCTTTGGGGTCCAGCCTGGAGTGCCGGACTGAGGAAGGCAGACGTGGCCAGAGCTGCAGAGACCCGGCGGAGCTGAAGCAGGAGCCACTTTAAAGCCATCACCCAGCTGCAGAGGAGAGGGTCGAGGGGCGCAGGGTGAGGTCGGGGAGACCCCCGAGGCCTGAGCCGGGAGCCTGGAGGGTGACAGGGGCCTTGCGCACGGTAGGGGCGTCGGCGGCAGCACTAGGAAGATGCAGACACAGAAGCCCCTTAACCAGCCTCCCGGGAAATGCAGCATCGCGGCCCCCGCGGTGGCCGTGTTTCCCGAGCTGTTTCTCGATCTCATGCCACGTGGTGCCAGGAGTGACCTCGGTCGCTCAGCGTCCACGCACACAGGCGCCCCCCCAACTGCTGCCTCTCCCCGGCATTTCATCTTCCACGCGAGCCGTTCCGCGGCCCATGCGCCCCCCGCTGTGAGCACGAGCCTTCAGATGACCGGCTTCCTCGGCCACGCGGAACGGAGCCAGGGAACAGCAACTTCTCCAACTTTATAGGAAGAAGCGGTTCTCGTGTTCAGCCTCGTTTTCTCTCTCTCGCCCTCCCTCGCCCCTGTCATCCGTCCCTGCCGTCCCTGCCCAGAAGACCAGGTCCTGGTGGTGAAGACGGAGCAGGATTATTACTACCCGTTGATCGGTCCTCTCCTTATACAGCTGCCGAAACTGAAGACTCGTCAGCGCACTCCGTAACGTACGCTCATTCACCTTTTCCAAAAATATGGTGCGAGGGGCTGGATAGTGCCCGTCTCCCCGAAATTCACGCCCACCCAGAACCTCAGAACGCGACCTTATGTGGACATAGGGTCTTAGCAGACATGATTAGTTCAGACGGGGTCACAGCGGAGTAGGACAGGCCCAAACCCAGTGACTGGTGTCTTTATAGAGAGGGGGGTGGGTTTTAGACCTCTGGCCTCCAGAACGAAGAGAGGAGAAATGCAGGCTGATTTAAGCCACCCCGTTTGCCGTCACCTGTTGTGCCAGCCTCGAGAAGCTTCCACGTGTTCTACTATCCAGATCCACTTTATAGGTTAGGAGACGGGCTCTGGGAGCCCAGACCTGGGCAGGCTCCTCCCCCCACCCCATCACAGCCACCATCTCCATGGTGGCAGCCTCGCTGGTGGAGGAGACTGGGGGGCGGAGCCGGGTGTCAGGTCTGATTTGCATCCTGGGAGGGGCGGTGCCTCTGAGTGGTGCCTGTGGCTTTGACATGGGCAGGTGCCACATCCACCTCTGGGGACTCTGTGTTCTTGCCTACGAGTGGCTGGACTGACGTCCATTTAACTACTATTTGCACATTTTACCTGATTAAAATAACTTGTCGTTTTTTCTCTATCAGGAAAAGTGATACAGTATCGATGTAGAAAAAAACAGAAATTAAAAAGGGTGAACAGAAGGAAATAAAAGGAAAAACCCAGTGTCACCCACCACCAACACCTCGGCGTACCTCATACCGGCCTGTTTGGGTGTGTTTGTTTCTTACAGAGCACTTTTAGAAAATGTGAACGTTTTATTCTGAGATAACCGTCCATCCACGTGTAATTGTAAGGAATAACACAGAGAGACCCGGGTGCCCTGCCCCCAGTGTCCCCAGTGCCCAAACCGCACAAAACTACGGTATCACAACCAGGAGTCGACACACAGTCGACACAGAGCGGTGGCATCAGCACGGGGTCCCCTCCGCCGCCCCTGCACAGCACGCCCGCTCCCCGTCACCCCCCTGGACCCCGGCAGCCACGCATCTGTTCCCCATGTCTAGAATCCCGTCGTTTTGAGAAAGTCCCATAAACGGAGTCACACACCGTGTAAACTTTGGGAACTGGCTCTTTCCCACCCGTGTGAGTCTCTGGAGAGCCGCCCAGGTTGTGGCGTGTGTTAGTGACCTGTCTGTCCCTCACATCGCGGAGCAGCGATCTGCTGGACCACAGTGGCTCGTCCGCTCCCCCCTTGAGGACACCCGGGTTGGTGCCACTTTCTGGCCGTTAGGAATAGAGCTGCTGGAACGTCCGCGTCCAGGTGTCCGTGTGAACGAAAGTCTGCATTTCTCTGGGACGGGTGCCCGGGAGTGCCACCCCCGAGTCCCACGGTAGCTGCATGTCCGGTGGTTTTAGGACACTGCCGAGCTGTTCTCCAGGTGGCCGTGTCGTCTTATACTCCCCCGGCTGCAGTGGAGGGACCCAGTTTCTCCACGTCCTCGCCAGCACCTGGTGCCGCTATTTCTCATTGCAGCCATTCCGGTCGGTGTGCGGTTTAGTTCGCGTTTCCGATTGTGGTTCAGTTCGCGGTTCCCTAGTGGCTGATGACGCTGAGCGTCTCCTCCGGAGCTTGCTTCTCGCCCGCATCTTCCCTTGGGCGAGACGTCTCTTCGTGCCTGTCACCCAGGTCCCGATCGAATCGTTTCATGCTCTCAGCAGCAGTCTGCGTGGGGTATGCGGTCGGTAAATGCTTCTCTGCAGCTCGCCTTCCCATCTTCTGAAAGCGTCCTTCGGGGACTCCTCCATGACAGGGCTCGTGGTGTCCCCCCAAGCAGTGTGCCCCGGATCCCAAGCGTCTTCCCCGCTCTCTTTGCTAAAGGATTTAGTTTCCACTTTGCGTGTAAGTCTGTGATCCATTCTGAGTTTGCTTTTGTCAGGTGTGAGGCTCATGGTCCCCGGGTGCTCATCTGCCGGATGCCACCCCCCACTCCCCGCAGATACCCCCACCCCACGGAGCGCTCTCCTCCCGTGGGAAAATTGGCTGTGCACGGCTGTGAGGGTCAGTTTCTGGGTTCTCTGTCAGATCGCATTTTTAATTCACAGGTAGTTACAGAACGCGGGTCCCCCTAAATCCACCACCATCTTCGCACCCGGCTTGGCCCGTGTGAGGGTGTGTGTGTGTGATTGTGTCTGTTGGTGTGCAGATGTGTCTGAGTGTGAGTCAGTGTGAGCCGGTGTGTGAGAATGCGTGTGTATATGCACGAGTGTGTGTTCACACTCGACCCCGCGCCCCCAGGCTTCGGTGAGGAAGGCATCGGCCACTTCTGGACAGTGGTGTGTGCCAGGCGAGCTCTCTCTGCTGCTGCAGTCAGGGTCCCTGGGCGGCCAGGCTGACAGGCTTGTGCCATCTTGGCCCAGATTCAGAGAATCCGCAGGTGCAAGTGTGTGGCCAAGGTCCCAGGCTCCAGGGGGCGGCAGACAGCCAGTTTCTTCTGGGAGTTTGTCCTGGAACTCAGGTCAGCAGCTGGGTCCACTCCGAGGGTCCAGGGGTCCCCAGGCCAGGCAGGGGGCTCCATCCTCCCACCACCCCAGGATGCTGTCGTGAGCGGAGGAATCCCGGACCAGGAATCTCAGGAGCAGGCTTGTCGGCACTGGGACCGGGGACAGGAGGACCACGGCTGCCCAGGACGGACCCGAGTCCGGGGGCTATGGACCAGGCACTGTCCACCTGGAAGCCCCAGGGCTGGGACCTGACGCTCTCTCTGTCCCTGGTTACTGTGTGGCCTCGGGCGAGTGACTGCACTGTGCCACCTCGGTCTCCCAGCTATCAAGCTGGTCGGCTGGGGGAGGCGGGGGACGAAGGAGGCAGTGTGTCAGGTGTGCAAACACCAGTGCTCACACGTGCAGCTCTGCGACCTCGCTGGCCTCGGCTCCCGTTTGCACGAGACTAGAGGCCCGCCTTCCAACACCAAAGACCTTCGTCATCATCGCCTGGCCACCCCAGCGCCATAGTTCGAAGGATGCCTTCTAAACAAAGACGTGACCGCTGGGCAGACAAGCCTGGAGCCCGGGACGGTCTCTCTCCAGGTGGGAACAGGTGGCTCGAACTTCTCCATCAGGCTTTTCTCTAATCTTGGATTTCTTGCGTGCTCGAGTTTTTCTAATTTCTGTTTTTGAATGTTTTACAATGAGTACTTGTGACTTTCACAGTCAGAAAAACAGGCGTGCTACGTGTTAATTTAAGACTAGAAGGACATACAAAAATTAACCGTCGTTATCCTGGAGGCACAGGAGTTGGTGACATTTACATTCTTGATGTTTTGAATGTGTTTTCAAATGTTTTATAATGAGTATGTATTGTTTTTCAAATCAGAAGAAACTGTAACACTATATTAAAGAGAAAAAGAAAGATGGGACCGGAGAGAGATGTGTGTATGCGCACACTTCTGTGTGTGTAAACACCCAATGCACATGTCTAACCGTGTCCTGTCATCTAGCCACAGGATCTGTCTTTGGTTGTGGGATTATGAGAAATAGTTGGATTTTTTCACTTTCTACTTTTTTTTTAAAGATTCCAATTAAGTAAATTAATATAATCAGAGGTTTGAAAAATCCGACTGCCACCCACCAGAATGAGTGACTCACACACTGCAGTCCAGCACATACACTAACACAAATGCATGCACACATGCACACACACACGTACAGACATACACATGGACGTGAACACACGAACATGCACACACAAATGCACACGTGCACAATGTGCACACATGCAGACGCACACACGTGCACAATGTGCACACATGTACACACATGCACACACAAATGCACACACGCGCACACACATACACGTGCACATGAACACACGGACATGTACACACAAATGCACACACGCAGACACATGTGGACACGCACACGCACACACGTGTAAATACACGAACATGTACACACACACGTTCACACCCGCGCACACCCGCGTGGAACGCCCAGCTTCCCTTTGCCCACGCTGGCTGCCCCTCGATGATCTCCCTTATGCTGTGCTATTCCCTCGTCTGTGAGTTTCTGTCACTGTCCGGCGCGGGCCTGGCCCTGGGAGG